TGTCGGTCGTCACATGTTCTCCAACATGTCTGTCATGTCTCGTGTTATAGATGGAGAAGTCAAATGTGTCCACGAACATGGCGGTCGACACTATTGCATGCACGACCGAAGACCTGTATCAAGATATATCTAACGTCATAGCAACAGACGACGCTCACAAGCAGTGCGTTCGCAGTCCTTGGAGAGGGGTGGCAGGGAACGATACCAACCAAGAAACGACGTTGCAAATGGAATTCGAGGAAATGTTGCGTGTCATTTCCGTGGCTGCAAATGAGGACGCGGATAACGGCGAGGGGACAGGCAACGAAGATACTTCGATGTGCACAGTTGGCAGTGACTGTATCACCAAGACTGAAGCAGGAACGCAATTCCTCTACGATATCAATTGGGAGCCCGACAAGGTGCAGCCAGGCCTGAACGGGGGCAAAAACTGCCTCGCCTTTAAGAGCGGTGATACATGGGTCCCTTATCCTCCGCCTAAATTGGCCACATGGCGCTACATCACGGCAGCCATTATTTTCGACCGACTGACAAGGCTGAATGACGGTGTCGCGCTTCGACGTCTGATCAAATGCACGCATGTCCTTTGGGAGGCACTGGCAGAAAAGGGAGGGTTACGACTGAATGATTCTTTTTACGATCGTGAGGACTGCTCTCAACAATGGGTGGTTTCTGATAGCACATGAGTTGGGGATGGAGTATGCAACGACAATGATGCAAGGCGGGATGCGTGGTGGGGTTGGGTGTCGTCAAACATTCTTTGTGAATATGGGGAGATAAGGATGCTTGTCCGTGATCTAATTGGGAACTGTTGGAGTACAGTTTATATAAATGGCGAGTTCTCGTCTCATTTTTTGGAGTACGAGATGGCGGAGTTGTTTGATGCCGCGACAGGGGAACCCCTGATCCCAATGCAGAACCCCGTGTTTTCGCCAATTGTGGAGGGGAAAGTTTTTTCGGGGGAGGACAACATTTATTTGCGGCACGTAAAAGGAAGGGAGGTCACTTATGATGGTCTGTTCGTTGACATATGGGACCCGGACATGACACGTCGGAGAGGCTGCCTGATATTGACATATCTGGCACTGTTATTCCACAAACGGAGTTGAGCGGACATTCGTCCGGGGAGATGTACGGGTATCATGTGAATTGGGTGCCCGGTGTCTTTTATCCTGACATTTTTGAAAACAAAGTTACGATGGCAGGCAGACTGCGTTCAGGCGAGTGGGTACCTATGGGTTGGATGCCTTCAGGTGTTGTTGAGCATTGGCATTTCATGGTTGTGTTGGCTCGTGTGTCGATATGCAATGCAAGGGTGAATGACAAAGCGTTATTGTGCAAACATGCAAAGCTGTGTTGGGATAGATTGAATGCTGAGGACCGTCAGATGGTGTTGTGTGGATATGACGGTCGTGAAGATGACAACATGTGGTCAATGCAGGGTGCTAGCGTGGGCACAAACCCTTGTTCGGATTTTCCTGATAAATGTGTGAGCGTCATTCGCCGTAGACATGGGCGGTCTGCACTTCTTGGATGGGTACCCGTTGTCTGTCCCATGCGTTATGCCTGCGGCGCAGAGCTGTCCATGGAGTTCAGAGACCCTCTGGGTGTTCCGTTTTTTTGTGACGTACTCTGATGGTTTGCTGCGACACATTGAGTACATGGCAGCGCAGGACATGAAGGTGAACGATCATAATGCGGGGATTACAGAACCTCAGTTTGAAGAGAGGGGACAAGCGGCATGCGAGGCAAACAGACCACACGAAGACGCTCCCGGGGGATGTGACGTTGACGGACCGGCTGCATACTCGAGTGCAGGATGTGCTGTTGTGGAGAAGAGCGCGGTAGTCAGCGGCACGGTGTGCAGCGATGGTAGCAGGCGGACGGGCCAAGGAACGAAGCGGAAGGTGACAGCCAAACGCGACAACGGGGGGACAACGACGGTAGCAAGGAGGGGGGGTCGAGGTAAGGGAAGGGGGGGTGGAGCAGCAATGTTTGTGGAAGAGGGAGAGGAAGGGGGAGGGGACAAGGGGGGGCAGCAATGGATGGTGAGACAGGCGGGAAAAATGATGGGAGGCAAGGCCCGCCTAGATGCAATCGCCGACCCGGAGAGGCTGCTGTGGCGGAGATGCGCCGACTGCAACGCAGCACAGAGCTTTGCATCTCTTACAGACCATTTGTAAGGCTTGTGCGCGAGGTTGTGCAGAAAGAAAATGTTGCAACACAACCAATGCGGTTCGGGATGCTTGCAATTCGAGCACTTCTGGAGGCAGCTGAAGCCTATCTTGTTCATCTTATAGAGAGCACCAACGAGGTTGCAATCCATTCGAAGCGGGTGACGATCTTGACGAAGGACATGAGGCTCGTTGACACATTGCAAAAACCGCGTTGGTGTGTTTTTACGAAAGGCGTCGTGGACGAGAAAGAGTTGATCAGACAACAACAGGAGAGGAGGAGGGCGAATGCTGATGACACAAACAGACAAGAAGTAGCGCCCGAGTCTGCCGAATAGCAGGGGAAAGGGGAGGCGAGGGGGGCATCAAAGAGGAAAGGAAAGCCGGTGAAAAGCACGACGCCAAATAAAAAAAAGAAATGATATATATGGACGAAAACGAGTCTGTGTTATCTTCAAAGGTGTGTGTGTGTGTGTGTGTGTGTGTGTGTGTGTGTGTGTGTGTGTGTATGTGTGTGTGTATGTGTGTGTGTGTGTGTTTGTGTGTGTGAGAACATGTGTTCGGGTGATAGATCCTGGATTTTTGTAATGTCGTCATTAACAATGATATTTGTACCTTCATTTTATCACAGATCATGTCTTTGGTTGACATGACTGTGACCCACTGCATGCGTGCCACAAACTATGACGAAAATTTGCAGACCCTTGTCTGTCGCTTCTCTTGTCTGTCTCTGTCATCTTTCCTTTCATTGATGCAATTCATATTCAGAGGGTGAGTCGGTGTGTGTGTGTGTGTGTGTGTGTGTGTGTGTGG